TGCTGCAATAAACATAGTTGTGCTGGTAGCTTTAGTGTGATCTTGTTTGTAAACATTTGGGTAAATGCCCAAAAGTGGGATTGCTGGGTCAAAGGGGAGTTCTATGTGGAGTCTTTTGAGGAACCTCCATACTGCTTTCCAAAGTGGTTGAACAAGTTTACATTCCCACCAACAATGCAGTAAGGTTCCCTTCTGTCCGCATCCCCTCCAGCATCTGTTGTTGTTAGAGTTCTTGATTTTTGCCATTCTAACTGGAGTGAGGTGGTATCTCAATGTTGTTTTGATTTGCATTTCTTTTATGGCTAGGGATGTTGAGCATTTCTTCATGTGTCTATTGGCCGTCCTTCTTTCTTCTTCAGAGAAGTTTCTCTTTAAGTCTTTCGCCCACTTGTTTATTGGGCAGTTGTTTCTTTGAGGATCCAAATCCATTCTTTGAATCACCAATGTCTGGATTCCACTCAAGAAATAACTTCTATTGGGAAACAGCATGAGAATATCTTTTTGGTTGATGAAAATGTTCTTTATCTTGACGGGGTGTTGGAAATTACCACCAAACATGAGTCTTGATTTCATTTAATGCCCGCTCACCACTTCCCAGCCATGGCTTCGGGTTTGCATCTGCATTGTCCATCTATCACCACAGGATGGTAGTGTTGCAGAGATGATCAAATTCTGGCTGAAATCTGAGTCCCTGGGAAGTGCTCCGTTTCTGGTTGTGTCCCCTCCAACCTCCTTTAAAGAACCTTTGTCCGCCACGGCCTTCAGCATTTAAGCTCTTTCCTTTCTGGTCCCACTCCTGACCCCCTGTTCCAATTTCCTGAGTACTTGATGCCCATAGTCCTTCACATTGGACCCTCTTAGCTGGATTCAGTGACTGGGAGAAGGTCACACAGAGGAAAGTTCAAGAGAGGAAAAACCAGTTATCTGCACTTGATGTTTCTAGAGGAAAAATCTGAAAACACAGAAAATGTGTGCCGCTAGAGAAATGAAAATGCCTTGTCCCTTTTCACCCACTGGTGATAAGAATGAATTCAATCGATAAGGGAACTCTGGAGGGATTTACAAGATGTATTATTAGGAAGGAAATGTACAAGGTAGAGGTGAGTGTATCATAAACACCAAACTTTCCTATATGTGTGGGTTTGCATAGGGTTCTGAGTAGAAAGAGAAATATGGGAAAGCACATCTCGGCTTTCTGCACTATTTACTTGGGATTGGCTTGGGCATAAGGGATTAATAGGGAAAAAGAAGACTTTCAATAAAAAAGAAATAAGATTCAAATAGTGAGGCACTGGTGGTTCACGCCTGTAATCCTAGCTACGAGGGAAGTTGAGATCTGAGAATCATGGTTCAAAGCTGGCCCAGGCAAGAAAGTCTGAGAAACTTATCTCCACTAAACTACCCAAATAAGCCATTAGAAGATCTGTGTCTCCAGTAGTGCAGTAGAGCCTTCAGCAAAAGCAGCTTAGGGACTGAGAGAGCCCAGGCCCTGAGTTCAAACCCTAGGACAGGCATTTAAAAAAAAGAGATTCAAATAACAATACATGTAACATTTTAGTGTTATTTAAATTGAATATTAACTTGGAAGCATATATATTGTGTACATAGCTGTATACATATATACATATCTTTGTACATATAAATCTAATCTTTTCCTATATGTTTTCTGCATTTTAATGTTATGCCTAGATCTTAACCACATTAAAAGTATACCTGTCTCCTCATCTGTTCTTGCTCTCTCTCTCTCTTTCTCTCTCTCTCTCTCTCACACACACACACACACACACACACACACACAAACATACACACACATTCTTAGTCCAACAGGGTTGTAAAATAGGGGCCTACTAAAATAAAAATTGTTTTCAAACAACCAACTTTCTAAGAGCTCTAAAGAAGGTGTGATAGATGTGGGGGCTGTATCTACTGCAGATTCATGTGAATAGGAACGCACACTCCCTGTGGAGCCTGGTGATGGCGCTGGGGGGACGGTTTTGAAGATGTCCTGAGGACAGATGGCAGGAGTGGAGAATGGCCAGTGACATGGAGCAGTGGCTGCTCCTACCTGTTAGCTCTCTGCTTTCTTGGTGATTCTGCCACCTCTGATCTTGCTAAGAGATCTCTCTTGCTCACCTTTATTTTTAAACTAGATTTTTCAAAGGGTCACCTGGCTCTTTAGGCTTTCAACAGGCTCTGCTGTCAGAAATTGAGGGAAAGAGATGTTTCCTTAATTATAGAGAGAGTGGCTTCACCTGAGTCCTCTGGGGCTGCTCTCTACCAACAAGCCATCTCTATTAAACCCCCAAATAGATGTGCCTTGTAGTGCTTTCCAGTTCTAGCCAGAAGTTGGCAACAGCTCCCCTTATTTCTTCCTAAGGAATGAGAGGTTAGGACTTTGGAATTTCTGTCTCTCTCTCTCTTTTTTTTTTTTTTTTGGTCGTGGGGTTTGAACTCTGGGCCTGGGCGCTGTCCCTCAGCTCTTCAGCTCAAGGCTAGTGCTCTACCATTTGAGCCACAGCACCACTTCTGCTTTTCTGAGTGGTTTATTGGAGAGAAGAGTCTCATGGACTTTCCTAGTTGGGCTGGCTTTGAACCGCAATCCTCAGATCTCAGCCTCCCGAGTAGCTAGGATTAAAGGTAAGAGCCACCAGCACCGGCTTTGGAATCTCTTTTTATTATATATATATATATTTATGATATATATAAATTTATTTATTGTTGGTTGTGGAGTTTAACTAGGGCCTGGGCACTGTCCTTGAGCTCTTTTGCTCAAGGCTAGTACTCTACCACTTTGAGCCACAGCGCCACTTCTGGTTTTCTGGTGGTTAATTGGAGACAAGAGTTTCAAGGACTATACCACCTGGGCTGGCTTCAGACTGTGATCTTCAGATCTTAGCATCCTGGGTAGCTAGGACTATAGGCATGAGTCACCAGCACCTGCCTATGAAAACTTTTATAAAGGAAGGATGTGCTCATAAAGTAGTCTTTCTATTTTAGCAATAAAATAATCTCAAAAGATCCCAGACAGGACAGTAGCATAAATGATAAACTGCTTCTGCTTCTTTTTTTTTTTTTTTTTTTTTTTTTGTCAGTCGTGGGGTTTGAACTCTGGGCTTGGCTCTACTGCTTGAGCCACAGCACCACTTCTGGTTTTCCAGTGGTTTATTGGCGATAAGAGTCTCACGGAATTTCCTGCCTGGGCTGGCTTTGAACCATGATCCTCAGATCTCAGCCTCCTGAGTTGTTAGGATTACAGGCATGAGCCACTGGCACCAAGCAAACTGCTTCTTAAAATCAGCATAGTTCTCAGACATCTGCCTGTCCTCACCCACTAAAAGATTTTCAAAGGAATAAAGTAATACCTAACATGTGAATGTACCATCACAAGAGATAACACCTGGAGCCAGCTGATAAAGGCTCCTTTATATATAAGGTAGGAAAAACTATTTTCAAGATCTATTCCCTGCCAAAGAGGAATCAAAAAGAGGAAGGAAAAAAATCCTACAATTGGGGATTTTTTTTTTTAAAGAATAAATATCTCTCTTTATTCTAAACAGGATGGGCAATCTGGCTCTGTCCATCTCTTAGCCCTCTTTCCCACCACACACTGCCATGTTTATCTTCCTGCCAGTCACCAACACCTGCTTTTCTCTAAATCTCGTTTCACTGAGATGGTGATAAATGGTCACCGATCCAGGAAAGAACTCTGGCTAGTGTTGGGAATATCTGGCCTGTCAGTACTGAGGTTTGAACTCAGGGTCATGTATTTACTAGGTGGGTGTTGTACTACCTGAGCCATGCTTCCAGCTGGACTTTTTGCAAGTTGTTTTGGAAATGGATGGTAGCCAACTTTTCTTCCTTGGCGGACCTCAAAACCACAGTCCTCCAAATCTCAGCCTCCTGCTAGTTAGGGTTATAGTTGTGAGCCGCTGGCATCTGGCTCTGCCTTTTACTTTTCTTGGTGTCAGTTAACAGTTATCAAAACTTGGATGGTCCATTTATATCTTTATTGCCTGACTCTACTCAGATTAAAACTGTATGAATGGAACAACATTAGCTCACTGTTCTAGGTCCTAAAAAAGCACATCATTAGCTCTTATCAAAAATACCTGCTGAGTGATAGAAAAAACAGAATAGGTGAAGCCTATGTTAAAACACGTCAAAAGGGGCAGAAAATATAAAGAACTGACGATGACAGCTAGAATTCCGCTAACATAAGTTGATGTGAAGAGGTCTATTTATATTTGTGTATTTATAATTGATAATCTACCCAAACATATACATATCCACAAGCAAATATACATATATCTGTGTACTTAAAAATATAAACAGGGAAGCCAGACAGTGGCTCGTACCTGTAACCCTAGCAACTCAAGGAGGCTGGATCTGAGGAAGGGGGTTCGAAGACAGCTGGGCAAATTATCTCCAGTTAACCAGTAAAACGCCGGAACTGGAAGTGCGGCTCAAGTGGTTGTGTGCCAATTGTGTGAAATAAAACTACCTATACGCAAGGTTACTCGTAAATATTTCGTATAGTCCTTAAGTCTGCCTTTTCTCAGGAAACTGCCCACTGCACTCTCCCTCCCCTCCTCGGGGTACAGCGTTGATTTCTACGGATTCTCGGGGAGGGCACTGAGCTCGCCCTCCCTCTTTTATAAAAATGTATTCTTGTCGCTAGTTGATTGGCGTTCGCGCCCCAGATTTTATCTCTCATTGGCCTACCTTCCAGTCCATCACTTCCGTGCCCAAGCATTCTATTGGCCCTCTGTAACTGACCTCCGACTGCTGGCCAAGCTGGGGCCGGAGGAGTTCCCCGGTGACGTCAAAGACGTGCCCCGCCCACATTCCGACACCTGGGCGGAGATTTCCCAGGGCCCTGCTTTTGTGGGCGGGGAGAATCGGAGAGAAAGACTTCTGATTGGGTCCTGCGGGCCAGACAGGCATGTGATTGGTCACTGCCTTTGAGGGAGGTGGGGCCGCAGCTGGGCCCTACAGCGAAGCTGGGGAGCCCTGGGGAGTCTCAAAGTTTGTGTCCGGAGCGGCTTTGAGAAGGGATTTTCTTGGGATGCGTGCTGATCTGTTGCCTTCCCTTTGGATGCACATCCCGCGCTAATCCCTGCAGCCTCGGGTCGGACCCTTGCGAAGACTTGGGTCCTCCCGAAATCCTCAGGTCCTGTAGGCAGGCAGGGGACACCCGGAGAAAGAGATCCTAGCGTTTCCACGGCCGCCCCGGCCCTCCGCATCCTCCGCCCGGCCCGGCGCGGCCTCTTCTGCCCTCAGCACCCTCGGCCCCGCGGCTTCCACCCCCATGGAGGTGCTGGAGAGCGGGGAGCAGGGCGTCCTGCAGTGGGACCGCAAGCTGAGCGAGCTGTCGGAGCCTGGGGACCCCGAGGCTCTCATGTACCACACGGTGAGTCCTGGGCGGCGGCGGGGGCTGAGGGGCGTTGACGTGTGTGTGCGTGTGTGTGTGTGTGTGTGTGCGTGTGTGTGTGTGCGCGCGCGCGTGCGTGTGTGCATGTGTGTGTGCGTGTGTGTGCGCGCGCGCGTGTGTTGTCATCGGAGTTGCAGCTGGAGATCTGGGGATATGGGGGTAGGATCCATCTGGAAAAGGGGGCCTGGTCCAGAAATGCAGCCACCTGGGGGAGGGAGAAGGGTCTAGTTGGTATTTGAGCGGTGCAAGTTGAACAGCTGGCGCCTCGAAACTTCCAGACGAGTGCCATTTTTGTATTCCTTTAGTAAATACTCTTCCCTGAAGTAGTTGTTGTTTAAAAACTCTGTAATCTCATTTCCTATTGCTAACGGTACTGTAAGGAGGGGAAAGGGAGTGTGTTTTGAGAATAATGCCTCTGCTTAGTTTGCTCTTTACAAAAATAGGTTCACGAACGGGTTTCAGTTCCACATGTCATTTTTGTTGAGTGCCACGCATCTTAATCAGTGGCACCCCTTCCACCGTGCTCCCCCACTTTCCCAATCCCACCCTTCCCCTCGATTTAGTTCAGACAACTTTATTTTCTAAGAGCTTCTGTCTTTCTAGTTAAAGATGCCTTAGATTTCAGCCTAGTATCTTCACAAAATGAAGGTATAAAAATCAACTTCAGAATGCTTCCTTAGGAACAGATAGCCTGCAATTGAGTACCAGCATGAATAGCTTATTAGCCTGCTCCAGGATTTGTCTTTTTACAAAATCGTTTCTTTACTAGTTTATAAAGAGGTTTCAATTCAATCTATCAGTGTGAGTACAATGCATCTTGATCAGTGTCATCCTTTCCACAGTTCTCCCCATCTCTCCCAACCCCAAACACTCCCTCAGTTTAGTTTGCCTTGCTTTTTGTGGAAAGGTTTTTTTTTTTTTTTTTTTTATTAGCCAAGCTAAAGTAGAATTTTCTTTCCATCTGTTTTATGTCTTTCTTCTTCCTCCTCTCTCCCTGATTACTTTCTGATTTCCATTTTAAACTGTATGCTGTGTCTGGGTGTGTTGGAAATCCTCCTCCACCTAGGAGGGAAGCCTCTTTGGCGTCTTAAACTGTAAGGCCAGGAGATCTGTTTCCTCAGTCTTCTGAGGAAAGGCCCTGCAGACAAGTATGGAAAATCTGAGGTGGCTCCGTTTTTTCAGACTGACTTTCAGCAGGAAGGTGGGGTCAGCTCATGAATTCCTAATTCTGGCTGTGTCCCCAAAGACCTCACCCACCATGCACATTTCTCTGATGAGAGTTTTCAACTTTCTAGGATTAAATTTGCAGAAAGGGGATTTTGTTTCAGAAACCAGCATTGATAACATTACTTTGTTCAAGATCTCATTGAAGTTGGGGGGGGGGGGGGCGGAAGAGGCAGGAGGGAAAAGGGGAGGGAAGGGAGTGAAAAGAGGAGGCCTGGCTATTTTCTTTTGGGGTTCTTTCAATGGGTTACTACCAAGATATTCGAAACTTTTGCAAAATGGCCAGCAGGCTCCACCTCTGGGGTTTTGCTGCTAGCTGACTGTTATTTTGGGAAAAGGGATGGGGCCTCTGTACTGATTCTCACCCCAGCATTTGTGTAGCTGAGAAGGGTTTGTGTTTAAAAAAAAATGCAGTGTTCAGAGCTGAGAGGGTGTGGCAGTTCATGTTGGGGCAAAAGCCAGATGTTCAATGTAGTGATCATATGAGCTTTGCCCATGGAGCGGCTCGGAGGAGACCATGTGGGCTGCATTAGATGTCCAGCCTGCCCTATGAGGAGCTTGGAGCATATTAGCTCACAAATGGCTAGTGATGAGTGGGTGCTCCAGATGTTTTGGTAGACATGAGCTACATCTTAGTTCTTCTCTTTTGCTCTTCAACCTACTGATGCTTTACAAGGGGAAAATGTCTCATCCAGCAGCCATCATGCTCTTTGAGCTGATGGGATGGGTTATGCACTGACACCCATGGGGCTGTTCCTGGACTCAGTGTCTTATACAGGAGATCACAGGTCAGAGTTGGAGATGCTACCTGTGCCTGTCATGAACTTCAGGACAAAGATCTTGGACTGGTTCTAACTAACAACTTCATGAAAAGTTGCAGGGGAGCAGACCTTGTATTCCTTAGGTTGTCTGTTGTGGTAAAGCACTGAATATAGGATTATTTTTCTTCTAATCCTTTTCTTAAAAAAAAAAGGCAATTGTGTTCTCTACTTAGACAAGTGTCTCATTCTGAGCTGTGCACTCGTAAATTGCCCCCCCCCCCATTATTGCTGCTAGTATATGTGTACTCGTATGATAAGAATATATGTTAAAATAAACATTGGATTTAGTAACACAGACAACTGGATGGTATTCCTTTGAGCTAAGGGGGATTTAGCAGAAATGTAAGCATAGGTAACTTTACCCTCTGTTGTTTGACCTCTGTTGGGGTTGAGGTGCAGAGCTGGTTATGATTGCCATTTATCCATGATGTAGAGATGGCCTGGCCTTTGGCTGAATCCCTGTGTGGAAAACAGTGTCCAGATTTTATTATGCATTCATTCAAAGATAGTTATGCTTTCAATTACTACTTGTTGACTATTTTAATATTTATTGACTGTTCTAAGCCCTTGGGATACATAGATGAACAAACTCAAACAAAAATTCCTGACCTTGCAAAGCCTACATGTGTGTGTAGGATGTGTGTGTGCACATGCACACACACATGTGTCCGTGTAGGTATCTGAGTATGTGCACACTTGTAGGCGTTAAGCAGGAGAAAGTTTATAAACAGCAAGTGCGAAATGTAATAGAGAAGTAAGCAATATGCTAGAACTGTGATAGAGAAAGTAAAAGTAGAAAAGCGTATTGGGGATAGAGAATTCAGGACAGAGAAAAGGCGGAGGTAGTATCGAACTGTTGATCAGAGATAACTATCCGGGAAGACATTTGAAGGAGGTGAGTGTTTAGCTGAGCAGGATGAAAAGCCAGGGCAGAACTCGAGGTGAGCACACCTTGACATGAGCTGGTGCTAACTCCAAGTTCTTTCCATTCCTTTGTTTTGGTGAATGATTTTCCTTGTAAAGGAAAGGAGTCTTTTAGGAAAGACTCAGGAAAACTTTTCCGAGTGAGTGGATTGGGCATTGTCCAGGGCAAGGAGAGCCTGGGGGTTGGGGGTAGATTATAAGTTGAACAGATGGTAGCAGATGGAGTGTTTATCACCTGTGAGAGGGGGCCTCCAGCACACGCCTGACCCTCCCCCCACCCCACGGGAGAGCCCCAGTCCTTGGTTGGGTGCTCTACTGTTACATCCTAAAATTTTTTTAATACTTTTGAGATAGGGACCCCACATTCTATTTTGTGTTAATTCCCACAGATTTATTGCTGGTCCAGCTGGGAGATATTATGTAGTGCTTAGTTAAAAAATATGTATATGCCTGATTTATTTATATAAGCCTGATTTATTATATATACATATATATACACACATAAGCTTACATATCCATGTAAGCCTGATTTATAATAAAATCAGGCATATATACATACATATATATATATATATATATATATATATACACATACGTATGTACATACATACATACTGTTCATCTCTCTTAATGGGCCCAATGAGTGAGCCATTTATTTTCTATTCTCATTTTAGATGTAAGAAAACCAAAGCTTAATGCATTTAAGCATCTCAGCTTGGGCCCCAGAGCTGAGTGGTATCATGACCAGGGTTCGAATCCAGCAATATTGCCATATTGCTGTAGAATGGAAGAATCTCAATTTATAAGAAGTATCTAAATGAGAAGAAAATGGGAGAGGAGACGGGTGTTGACACTGCCCAAGAGCAGCTAATGTTTAACTGAGGCTAACAGTGGCCACCTCCACACCTTCTTAGCCTGACTACTTCTAAACACTCCATTTAAGCAAATCTATCACACCTCAGACTTGAAAAAGTAGAGGAATGTTCCAGTTGCCGAAGACTGGGATTCTAATGCCTCTCAGATACCTTCTGTGATCCATCCCATCAGAGACAATGTTTATTCTCTTTTAGGTAAACTTCTTGATCCAGAGAGACAAAGGCTTACTGGAGAGAGGTTTAAAGTCTACAGAATAATGAAGGATAGGGCATGTAGATAGGGCAGTTGTGAACTTGTCATTAGATAACAAATTAGTAAAGACATGGGCTTTCTCTTGAAGCCCTGGAGGTTGAAAGAAGATTGGGAGGCTCATCTAGGTACTGTATCATTTACTATTGTCAAATGTGTACTTCCTGGATATGTTTAGAAAATGAAGAAATTGCAACTCAAAGGTATCATCCAAAACTAGACAAGAGGCTGTTTTCACAGGGGTGGTGTGACAATGGTCTATTAAAACACAACATCTTAGCTGGGCACTGGTGGCTCACGCCATCTCAGAAGGCTCAGATCTGAAGATTGAGGTTTGAAGCCAGCCCAGGCAGGAAAGTCCGTGACATTCTTATCTCCAATAAACTATTCAGAAAAAGACAGAGTGGCACTGTGGCTCAAGGGGTAAAATGCTAGCCTTGAGCAAAAGCAGCTCCAGGGACAGTGCCCAGGCCCTGATTTCAAGCCCCAGTACTGGCACCAACAAACCCCATAAAACCCCCCAAAACCCCATAGCTCAACATCTTTCGAGTTGCTGTGGCCTTGGGTGAACATGGGGGAACTGGCAGTGATTGGCCATGGTGGATGGGAGTGGACAGTAGCTCTAGAGGGACACTATGGGTGATAAACCTTGTGATCTTGCTCACTCCTGATAGCCACACTTAGCCGCCTAGAAGATGATGATTTCTTTCAGTTTTTGCAATGATCATGTTCTTAAAAAAAAAAAAAAAGCAACCATAAGATAGTCTTTGCCAAGATGACAGTTGCGGTTCTGCTTGTATTAAATGTGCTGTCTGTATACAGCCAGTTATTTGTAACATATTTAGTGGTTATGCTGTTCACATATATCTGATCATTTCTTAAACG